GGCCCAGGAAACTTACAATGAGGTGGAAGGCAAAGGGGAAGCAAACATGTCTTACATGGCAAGCAGAAGCAAGAGAGAAAGAGCAGTGAGGTGCTACACACTCTCTAAACAACCAGATCTTGCAAGAGCTCACTCACTATGATGAGAACACAACCAAGGAGGATGGTGTCAACCATGAGATCCATCCCCAAGATTCAGTCCCTCCCCACCAGGCCTACCTCCAACACTGAGGATACATATAACACAAGATTTGGGTGGGAAACAGATCCAAACCATATCAATATAATTACGACATTATTTTTATGTTATATGCACATGTGTGTTTTTCCAGCTTTTATATTCTTGTATTTGTGTACAACATGGAAATTATCAAATGACAATTGATAGTTGCATCTAAAAGCTTTTAGTGTTTTTTCTTCTACATAAGTTTACACATAATAAAAAAATCCCTTTAAAAAATTTTAAAAACATATTATTATTTTAAGTAGACGACAGGGTTTGGCATGTTTGTCCAGGTTGGCCTTGAACCCCTGGTCAAGCAGTCCCACCCACCTTGGCTGCCTGAAGTACTTGGGATTACAGGTATGAGGCACTGAGCGCACGGCTAAATTTTTTTTTTTTTTTTCTTTTTGAGTCGTCACTCTCTGTCACTGCAGGATGGAGTGCGAGTGGACATAAGCACAGCCCACTGAGCAAGCCTTGACTTGCTGGGCTCAAGCGACCCTCTCACTTTACCCTCCCATGTAGCTGGGACTACAGGTGTGCGCCATCATGCCTGGCTTATTTATTTATTCAAGACGAGGTCTTACTCTGTCACACAGGTTGGAGTGCAGGGGCACAACCTTGGCTCACTGCAACCTCCACTTCTTGGGCTCAAGTGATTCTCGTGCCTCAGCCTCCTAAGTACCTGGAACTACAGGCACAAGCCACCTGGATAATTTTTGTATTTTTTGTAGACATGAGGTGTTGCCATGTTGCCCAGGCTGGTCTCAAACTCCTGGGCTCAAGTGATCTACTCACCTGGCCTCCCGAAGTGCTGGAATTACAGGAGTCAGCTAGCGCACTGGGCCTTCCCTATTCTAAAAGAAGTAAATAGCCAGGATAAATGCTTTTCTTCATAATTCCTTTTGTCTTCTTACTCTTGCAATGCTGCCTTACTGGAGTTGGAGTTGTTCATCTTTGGTAGTTTACCTCTGTCTTTTTAGAAGTCGAACGCTTCAGTTGCTCATCTTTGAAGCAGCCTGATTTTTTTCTTGCTTAATTCAGTGTAAAGAGTTCGAAACCTGCTTTTCACTTAGAACTTGTTTCTTTCAACCACTTTTCTGTGTAGGAAAAGTTTGAATTACATAAGTAATATGCATTAAACATTGAAAAATGTCATGAATATATGTGAAAATTATCAGACACACTGCAATACCCAGAACAGTGACTGTCCAGTAGCCAGCACAATATTTTGGTGGTAAATGCAGCCAGTGAGTCATGCTTGGGCCAGGGGCTGTTCCCTGGCAACGTAGCCTATGTACGCTAGGAGCCAAGCTCTTCTCTACATAGCAAGCTCAGTATCTCCAACATCAATTACTAAATAATTCATTTTTTTCCTCCTTGACTTTTTATGCCACATCCATCATTTTGGTCTGATCCTGGAATTTCTGTTCTATTTCTTTGATCTGTTTCTGATCTATTTCTCTTGCCAACACTACTTCTTTGATCTTTTTTTAAAAAAAGATTGTTTTAGCCATTCATGAATCTTTATTTTTCAGATGAATTTTTGAATTGATTTGTTACATTCCTGAAAATATGTGGCAGTGCTTTTGGTTAGATTTAATGTAATTGTTTTTAATTTATAGATTAAATTAAAAATTTAATGGGTGAGGGAAATCACCCTTGGCAGTGCTAAGTGAATAGGTCCATTTCACCATTGCTCACATATCATTTTGTACCTTTAGTAGATGCAAAATTTTCTTCATACAGATATCATGCATTCTCTGGTAGGTTAATTCCTAGACACTTTATATTTTTTGCTGCTATGACCAATGCTATTATATCTTTGGCTGGTTGTTTTTAGTATGTTGAGTATATGTCTGGTAACCATGCTGAAGCCTACTGTTATTTCTTTTTCTTTTCTTTTCTTTTCTTTTTTTTTTTTTGAGATGGAGTCTCGCTCTGTCGCCCAGGTTGGAGTGCAGTGGCGCGATCTTTGCTCGCTGCAAGCTCCACCTCCTGGGTTCACGCCATTCTCCTGCCTCAGCCTCCCAAGTAGCTGGGACTACAGGTGCCCGCCACCAGGACCTGGCTAATTTTTTGTATTTTTGGTAGAGACGGGGTTTCACCGTGTTAGCCAGGATGGTCTCGATCTCCTGACCTCATGATCCGCCCACCTCGGCCTCCCAAAGTGCTGGGATTACAGGCGTGAGCCACTGTGCCCAGCCGCCTCCTGTTATTTCTAACAATTTGTTTTTTCTCTTGGGTTTTTATTTTCTTTCATGGCTACTGATCTATTCAACTTTTCTATTTCCTCTTGTACCAGTTTTGGCACTTTTTTCCCCCCCCCAGAAATGTATCCATTTATCTGCTTTTAAGTTTTGGTTTGTAGTTGTGAATAATATTTCTTAATTATTTCACTTAAAACTATTGCTATGTGTGGTTGGGTGTGGTGGCTCATGCCTGTAATCTCAGCACTTTGGGAGGCTGAGGTGGGCGGATTACTTGAGGTCAGGAGTTTGAGACCAGCCGCCAAGCCACATGGGAAACCTAATCTCTACAAAAATACAAAAAAAAAAAATAGTAATATATTATATATTACTTTAGCTGGCTATGGTGATGTGTACCTGTAATCCCAGCTACTCAGTCTGGTTATTTTGTGCTGGCAAGAAATACCAAGTTCCTTGAAATTGTACTATTTCAATGATGTTTCCAGAGGCTGTTGATGTGAACTTGCGCGCATGTGGTTCTCGTGTTCGAAAGCACCGTGTTTGTGTTGTTGCAGTGTATAGTGTTGTCTATTGTCTGACTGTAAGTTTCAAAGAATCACACTGATGATTCGAATGATCGTGATGCTTTGTGCTACTGCTATCGAAGCGCTGGGTTGCTGGCAGGAGCTCTCGTGTTTGTGTTATGTCACAATAGATCTACGCAAGATATTAGTAGAATATGCCGGCTACCTACTAAGTCCTATATACACTGTAGGTAATATATGGTGATATGGATGTTCTTCTGATTTTAAGTATATTCTGTAATTGTGTGTTGCTTCGAACTTATGTTTTGGCTTTCTCCAGGAATAGAACATGACGTGACTTTGTAGTGGTTGTTTTGTATATATAATATAGAAGAGTATATGCTGTGTATTGGTGTCGTTTGATTCTTATGCCATCGCCTATATGTGCCTATTTGTCGCATGTCTAGTCACTTCTTGTAATGTTTAATATTTTATATAGAATACTTAGAAAGGGTTAGTTGATACGAAAATCTTTGGTTTGCGTCAATGTTATATTGTTATTTTTTAATTAACAAGAGTATAATAAACTTTAGAAGGATATAATGTCTCTTATTTCCGAGAAGAGGACAATTATTTGAATCTATTATCCAATGAAAGTGAAAAACATACACCATGAATTCTTATACCAGAGTAGGTGATGTTTAATTGTGATGTTGTCTATTCTCCAGGTTAATTTTGCAATATTTAGTCGTTTCTCAGTTCATTCTATCTTTTGTTCTTCTGCTTCATCTGTGTTTAGTATGTAGGAAATACATCTTAAATTTTTGGCTAAATGTGAGGAGC